CATCTGCTGCAGGTTCGTATCAGCGCACGGGGCATCTCCTGCCCCAGCTCCTGCCCGTGAACATCCTGCCCGTCCTACCCACTCCGCTCCCTGCCCAGCCTGTCCCTGGAGGTGACACCGCAGAGCCCCCCAGGTGCCCCCTGGGGTCTAAGGTCAGTCTCTGGCTCCAGGCAGGACCCTCCCTCCCAGCAGTCTGCTTTTTCATCCTTTGAAAACAGCCGCATGAGTTTTCTGACTGAGACCCCCGGGAAATGGTCCCTGGGCTCACAAACCTGCCCAGGGCTGGGCCACCAGCCCCCCCCGCGCTCCCCGCACCGTGGATACCCCCAGCAGCAGGGGAGCAGCTTTGGAAAAACCCCACCGGGTGCCCGGGGACAGCATCGGGGCAGCCAAAAATCCCTGGGCAATCCCAGGCTGGAGCAGGCACCGGGCGCTGGAGCCCTGTGGGACCAGGGGCCGGGGCAGGGGCTGGGGGGGGCCATGTCCCCGCCGGCTCTGGCGAAGGCCTTGTCCGGGCTGAGTCCCCGCAGCCACCCCAGAGCCTCAGCCCGGACCCATTGACATGATAATACTATTAAACTTCAGCAATTTGAAAAACAAAAGCCAGCAAGAGCCCAAATGGAAACCCCAGGCAGCCTGTCTCTGTCCCCCCACCCTCGCCCCCACCCCCGCCCCGTCCCAGGCAGGACTCTCTCCACACTTTGTCACCTCTCTGATATTTTAAATCTGGATTTTTGGCAAGGAAAATCGGATTTGTGGTCGGCTGCAGCCCTGCCCTTGAGCCCGGCTCTGGCTCTCCAGCAGCGGGAGGTCCTGCTCCCCGCTCAGGGCCACCAGAGTCCCCGCAGGATGGGGTTCCACCAGTAGGGCTGGTCCGGGGAGTGGGGTGAACAGGGCTTTTTTACTGGTGAACAGCCTGCCTTTGCTCGGGCTGGAGTCGGCTGGAGTCGTGGTGGTGTTAATTAGGAGGGAAATGATAGCTGGGTCTGTCCTGCCCCGGCTCAGGGAGGGGGTGGGAGCTGGGGCTTGGGTTCTCCTTCACCCTTCTCCCGCGGGGCCTTAAAGGCAGGGTTAAAGGTTTAAAATCGATGGCCGCCTGCTCGCTGAGGAGACCGAGGTCAGAGTGTTGGTGAGGGCTGGCCAAGCCCAGCTGGGCACCCACTGGGAACAAGCTACCCCACAAGAGCACCCGGTGTCCCACTCGGTGCCACAGCCCCATGGTGTGGGGCTCAGCCCCACTGACCTGCGTCACCACCTCCAGCCCCACACAGCTCCAGCACCACCACAGCCCCACACTGCGGCCCCTCCATCTCCTCCTGCCCCCTCCCCTGGGGCAGCTCTGCCCATCCCTCCCTCGGTGGGCACTGCCATGTCCTTTGTCTCTCTGGTGATCCCGTAACCTGGGTCATTAGTGGAGCCGTGGTGCTCCGGGGGCATCAGGATGGAGCTCACAGGGCTGGAGAATGACACTCTTGGGTGGGGGTTTGGAGGAAGCCTCCCTGGGCCACGTGGATACCTCTTGTCCAGGCTCTGCCATGGGGAGAGGTGACACAACAAGAGCTGCCACCCAGGGCTGCTCCTGGGCTGGGTTACATACATGGGCAGGAACAAGAGCTGGAGAAATGGGCCACCAGGAACCTCAAGAAGTTCAACAAGAAGTAGAAAGTCCTGCCCCTGGGGAGGGGCTGCCTGGATAGAAGCAGCTTGGCAGAAAAGGCACTGGGACACTGGCTTGACCATGAGCAGGCAAAGGCAGCAAACAGTGTCCTGGGCTGCCTCAGGAGCAGTGTCACAGCAGGGGAGGGAGGGGATCCTTCCCCTCTGCCCAGCACTGCTGAGGCCACCCCTGCAGTGCTGGGTCCAGCGCTGCGCTCCCCAGGACAAGAGAGACAGGGACAGAGGGGAGAAAGTCCAGTGAAGGGCCACGGAGGGGATGAAGGGACCGGAGCATCTCTGCTACGAGGGGAGGCTGAGGGAGCTGGGGCTGGTCAGCCTGGGGCAGAGCAGAGCCCATCAATACCTGCAGAGAAGGTGCTGAGAGGATGGAGCCAGGTTCTTCCCAGTGGTGCCCAGGGACAGGACCAGAGGCCATGGGCACACACCGACACACAGGAGGGTCCCTCTGAACATCAGGAGGCACACCTCCACTGCAGGCAGCTCTTTGAGATTGACTCAAAAGGACAGTTATTTTCTTAACTTGGTGCCTTCTTGCCCCAAGCAAACACTTCTGAAATCAAATGTGTAGTTTTATTTTGGTGCCATTTAATACTTTTGAAATGACTAAGTCAGGTCAGGTCGCCCTGCTGGCCACGCTGCTGGGGATGCAGCCCAGGATGTGGGGGGCTTTCTGGGCTCCGAGTGCACGTTGCCGGCTCACATCCAATTTGTCTGCTGTCCCCCAGGCTGTGCTGGTACTGGGGGTTGCCCCAATCCCAACTTCATGAAGTTCACATGGGCCCAAATAATTTGGGGGGTTGCTGATGTCTCTTTCTCCCTCTTTGGATGAAGTGGTTGACCAAAGTGGGTGAAGTGTTTTTGGGGCACACACAGTTGGCAGCACAGGAGAACTGTCTCATCTGCTTGTGTTGGTGGCACCAGGAGCCTCCAAAGAACATCAGCTGATGGACAATATGAGCTGAAGTGATGGGAAAGGCTGCCCTCCAGCCACTGCACTGCTGGAAAAGCCAAGAAGCCAACAGCTGAGTAAAACCAGGGGAAGGGGTTTAGTATCAGGACTGAAGAAAAAATACCGAAGCGTAGAAAGGGCTCTGAGCGCTGCTGGACCAAATGGCACATCTCCTGTGGTCCCATCTCCCTCCTTGGCCAGAAGCAGGTGCTGGAAGAGGGTGAGAACAGAGCCCATGGGAGAGATGCTCCTGGCACAGATGCTCTGAGCCAGACGTGGCTCCTGCATGACCAGTGGTACCCGTGGGCAGCCCAAGGAGGGGTGGGAGGCACCAACATCCCCACGCTGCCCCCCGCTTTCTACGTCCCCTCGTCTGGCCAGTGAGTTCAGCTGGCCTGGGGTCCCCTCGGGTGGAGGCTGGTCGGTGCTGCCAGACCCCCAGCTGCACTTCTCAGGGTGCTTCCTCTCTGGCTCTACCTCTTTTTTACATTCAAGCATGATAAAAGGGCGTAGGCAATGGCTGAACAGTGGTCTCTCTCTTAAGCTCCTTTCTTTCCCTAGTAATTCCTAGCATGTGATTTTCTCTCTCCTTTTTTTCTTGATTTTAACGGCCGCTGACCTTTCCCTGGGGCTGTCTCGGGGCACTTGGAGCTCGTTGTCTCGCCCATGAAGTTAGGGTTGATCTTCCCCTTGTGCTTCACTTTCCATCAACTCACCTGCATTTCGGTGCTTTACACTCAGCCTCCGAAGTCCTGCAAGACAGCCCCATCTTTGTCACCCAAACAACTTCTCCATCCACCTGCCACAAGCCCCAGGAGGTGGAGGAGGCAGGACTCCCTTTCGCAAGGACCATATTTACCCTTCCCATATGAACCCCAGGGTCCGCTACTTTGCTGGTACCGGGGTTGAAGGATTCCCTCTCCTGAGGGTCCTTGTGGTGTAACCACGGCCGTGCCGGTGAAGGGGGCAGCTCAGACACAGCAGCTTTAGTAGCTGCGTGAGACAGTGCTTCTGAAAGCCCCACGCCAGAGCCTCTGGCAGCTCTCTGCTCGGGGCCAGCAGTGCTGGTGGTGGCCAGCCACCAAGTCCATCCTGCTCCCAGCACTGGGAGAACCTGGGCTGGTCACACAGGCTGATCCTTTAGGATCAGTGGGGCTGAACTTCGCTCCTGGATGCAGCCACCTCCAGAAGACAGTTTAACCACAGCGTGGCAAAGACCTTGCAGAAGCTGGAGGCCCTTTCCCACACCACTCGGTTTATCTCCAGCATCAGCCCATCTGCCCCAGTGACATCTTCGAGATGTTCACTTTGGTGTGTGCCCCCGTGAAGGGAGTGTTTTAAAAAGCATCCTGCCCTCCAGCAATCTTCAGACCTGGGGCTTGGCTCTGGAAGTGGGAGAACTGTAGGTTTTTCTCTGGCACAGCAGGGAACTGGGGAAGGAGCTTGGTATCTGCAAGGCTGGAGAGGGGCTGGTTTGGGGCTGTTGCTGCAGAGCCCAAGCCATGACCCTGGGGAGCTCCCGGGAGAGCACGTCTGCAGCCTTTGTGTCCCTGATAATTCAGTTCATCTTCCCTTGTGCCGGCAGTGCCTGGAAAACAGAAGCACCGGGAACCGAGAAGTTTTTCAACTGTGGGTCATCTCCCAGATGAGAGCATCTCCTGGGGCCTGGCAGGTTTCTGAGCACGGACAGGGCTGCTGACCCCACTGATCCCACCAGGACGCACCCACGGAGCTCCTGCAGACCCCATCCAAGCTTTCCCAGAGAGCTGGGAGGGTCTCCAACATGCACTGTCCCCTCACCAGGTTCTGTGGGTGTGTCATCACACTTCCCCCATTTTAAATAAAGAAATTCAGGAAACTCATCATTTCAGGGCAGGGAGATGGGCTGCCCTCGAGCAGCTCTTGAGACAGCAGCTTTGCAAGGCAGGAGCCCCCCGCGCTCCCACACCCTTCTCAGGGCGGTGGTAAACAACCAAACCAAGGGGACAACCCCCCTCCCCATTTCTGACCCTCCCTGTCTCTTACCCCCCCACCCCTGCTCACTCGAGGTGACACAAAAGGCTGGCCAAACCCCTGGGACCCCCAGCCAGCTGATGGGGGACTGTGGCCAGCACCTTGCCCAGCGCTTCTCAGCCCACCCATGTGCCCACCCCGACACGGGAGCAGAGCAGAGCGACCCTCATCCCATCAGCAAAGGAGGAAAATGATGCTCAAGCTGATTTTACCCAGGCTGGGAGTGATTTGGCTTCAAAACCAGGCTGCCCCACTGGAAGGGGACCTGGCTGGCAGTGGTAGTGATGTGAGGAGATGTGGTGCCCAAATCTGTCTCCCAAAGCCACCAGGCAGTCCATGAGGGAGCCATACACAGGACACCTCTGTATCACACCCGTCAGGTTTTATACGCCGCGTCGGCATCCCGAATCCCTCACATCACAGGCTCTAAAGCCATAAAACAGCCAGGGAGAAGGAAACAAAGTGGGTTTTCTTTCATGAAGGGAGTGTGGGAGGAGAGGGGAGAGGCGCTTTCTCTCTGTGCTACGGCCCCAAGACGGGGATGGCTGGGGCTCGAGCCAGCCAGAAATGCCCACAGGCCAGCGCCCACCTGGGATGCTCACCCCAGCCCCAGGGACCAGCCGCAGGGTGGTGGCTTTGAGGCGTCAATGGCTGCCTGGGGGGGGGGTCACAGCCAGGCTGGGGGTCCCGGTGGGGGGAGCCTGTGGGCGGGAGAGGCAATGGAGGGGAGATCTGGGGCTGATGTAGGGGCACACAGCAGCGTAGTGACGGGAGCGCTTCCCCTCCAAGCGTGACCCGATGTGGGGGGCTGGTCCTGGGAGGCGTTTCCCATGGGGGGGAGCCTGCTGTGGGGCAGCAAGGGGGGCCGAGGGGCTGGGGGTGTGCACAGGAGGAGGTCAAGGGGCTGAGCGGCCCCGGGCTCTAATCGTCCTTGTCCTTGGCCCCGTGCTTCAGGATGCGGGTGAACTCCACGTAGTTGAAGTTGCCCTTCTTGTCGATGGGCGCCTCCCGGTACATCTCATCCACCTCCTCATCGGTGAACCTGTCCCCCATGGTGGTCAGCAGCTCACGCAGATGGTCCTCGTGGATGAAGCCTGCGGGGACAGCAGAGGGTGGCATTAGCAGGGGACACTGTGGGAGGGCTGAGCAGCAGGACCTTCCCCGCCTCTCCAGTAGCTCTCCCACTCTGGAGCTGCTTGGGGACTGTCCCCAGGGATTTGGCCCCAGCCCTGCGTGCCCGAGGGGAAGGTGCTGGGGCTGGCAGCACGGGGCTGTGGGCAGTGCCCGTACCTGATGCCTCCTCGTCGAAGCAGGCGAAGGCGTTGCGGATGACGTCCTCCGGGTCGGTGCCGTTCAGCTTCTCCCCAAACATGGTGAGGAACATGGTGAAGTTGATGGGCCCCGGCGCCTCGCTCATCATGCCCTCCAGGTACTCATCGGTGGGGTTCTTCCCTGCCAGACACAGGCTGGGGTGTGGGTGCCCTGTCCCCCCCCAGCATCCAGCCCCGAGGCCAGCCCCTGCACCCAGCTGGCTGGGCTTTTTCATTGCAAATTAATTTGTTGGCCCACATTCACCCACCCCATGAACAAGGGCAGGGGCTTCAGCAGTGCCCGCTGCTCCCCCCTTGGCATCTCTTCCCATGCTTGAACCCACACTGGGGCCTCCTGGAACCAAGCTCTGCCAGGCTCAGCCTCGAGAGATGCAGGAATTCATCTGGGGGTTCCCAGGAACTAAACTATGGTTTTTCCCTGTTCCCCAGCCAGTGACACCCAGCACCACCCGAGGAGAGGGGCAGCAGCGTCCCCACATGGGCCTCATGCTGCTGATGGTCCCTGGCACTGCTCCTACCATGGCTGCACCAGGGATGGTTTAACATCCTCTGCTGAGGTCCATGTGCCCCCAACACCAGGCTCCTCTCTGCTCCCAGAGCTCTGGCTCTGGGAAGGGGGGAGGTCCCTCCCGCGCCGGGCAGGACCTCCAGAACAGGTTTGGCTGCCAGGTCAATCATTGACAGCCCTTCCAAAGCGCCGTGGGGGTACCGCGGGGGGCAGGAGGTGGGAGCCATGGCCTGCAGCGAAGGAGAATGGGCTCTGGGTGGGGAACACGGCCAGACCTGCAAGTCTCAACCGGCTGAGGTATCACCCCAGCACAGCGACCGGCCTCTTCTGTCACCCAGGCTGAGAGCAGCAGGAGGGCTTTGTCCCACAGGGGGTGACCCCAGGGAGTATTCCAGGGTGAGACTACTCAAAGACTCAATGGCTGCTGGTGGTTGCTCCTAGGGCAAAGCTTCTCCTACCCCAAGGGTCTCTTCTCTTCTAGTGAGCACAGCCATAAAAGCAACACACTGAGCTGCTGCCCTTGGGTGCATCCACAAACCATCCCAGAGAAACCTCCCCGGCCTGATTTTGCAGCCAGCATTGGGCTGGCCCAAATCAGGAGGGATGTATCTCAACAGCATCCCACCAAAGCTGGTGTGAGGCACTAGGTCACCCAGCAGCTCTCCCCACTTCCCGAGGAGGCGCTGAGGACAGAGGGGCTGAGGGACACGTGGAGACACGAGGGAAGGGTCTCCTCACCGAGGGAAGCCAGCATGTCATGAAGATCCTCCTTGTCAATGAAGCCGTCGCGGTTCTGGTCGATCATGTTGAAGGCTTCCTTGAACTCCTGGATCTGCGACTGGTCGAACATGGCAAAGACATTGGAGGTGGCGCGCTGAGGGCGCTTCTTGGTGGTCTTGGCTTTGGCACGTTTGCTGGACATCTTGGCGGCTGGGGTGGTACCTAGGGGCAGGGCAGCAGGCAGGACCGTCATGGGGGCTGGGGACAGGCAGAGCCCAGGAGGACACAGCAGAGGCAGGGACACACAGCCCCGGGCAGCTCCAGGCCCATGCCTCAGTTTCCCTGACTGTCACACAGTTTGGCAACAGCGAGATAAGGCTGTCGCAGGGTGGGACATGGGGACAGGCAAGACTCAGGCTCTAATGAGTCCCCTGGGAAGTCACAAGAGCGGGCAGTGCCCACTGGCACCCCTTCCACAGGGCTGTCCCCGCGGCTGCAGGCTCCCTCTCTGCTTCCAGAGGTACCTGGGGGCTCCCAGGGCTCCCTGTCTGCACCCTCGGCCACCAAACCCCCAAACCTGCTCATCCCCTTTGTGCCCCAGGTGCAGGGGGAGATGCCAAGCCCAGCATGCAGCGTCTCCCCACTGCCCTCAGTCCCGGGGGGGACACAGAGGCAGGTGCCTTGGCATTTTGGGCAGATCTTAACCATGGCCCACCTCCCCCCCCAGGCATCCCCTCCTGCTCTGGCAGGGCTGCCCTGGCCCTCCCCAGCCTGGGTCCCTGCGCACCCCCGTCCCCCGCCCCCAGTCTGGGGGTGATGGGGCTCCCTGCACATCCCCTGACCCCCCAGCCCGGCTCCCGGGGAGATGGGGATCCCTGCCCACCCTCCCAGGGATCCCTGCCCACCCTCCATTTCGCTGCACAACAGCAGCCCCCGGCCACCTCCCCGGGGAGGGCTCTGCAGGCACCCAGCACCCAGCGGGAAGGGGTTATCTGCTCCGGGCACATTCCTCACATACCATGGGCTCCCTTCCCCCTCCATCCTGCTCTCCATCCATCCATCCACCCACCCATCCACCCACCCATCCCACCTCCCACCCCTGCAGGCTGAAGGGCCACTCACTGCCTCCCTCCCCACCGCGGTGCTCGGGGAGCCCACGGGAAGGGCCCGAGGTGGAGGGGAGAGGGGGCTGGTGGACCTCTGGGGGGCTGCAGAGCCCCTGTGGGGCAGGGACAAAGCAGCCGAGTAACGCCAGGACTGCGGGGCGCTGAGGACGGGTACTGTTGTTACAGGTAATGAATGCCAGGAGAAGGGAACAGCCCAGAGGGGCAAAGAGGAGGACAGCAGCGGGATGGGCAGACCTTTGGGGACACGGCTGAGGCGACGCATGTCCCATGGGTCCCCAAACACCACCAAGGCAAGATTGCAGCAGGAAAATGCGGTCTTTCAAAGCGGGATTCCTGCCCCCAGCCCGTGCCAGTGGGCACCCAGCAGAGCCCGGCTGCAGCAGAGAGCCCAGTCCCACCAGCAAGATGGCATTTGAGCCCCTTCACAGCCTCCGAGGGGTGGTTTGGTGTCACCCCCCACCCCCCTCATGGTGCCAGGCTGAGGGATGCAGTCGGTATTTAAGACACCCTGCACCAAGGGTGGTGGAGACCCAAACGAGGTCTGTATGGGGTGCTCAGCACCCCCAGTGACCACTGATGTTGCCTGAGAAGAGGATGCTTAGACCTCTCTCAAACTCCAGCCAGCGTAACTCAGCGAGATGCCAGCAAAGACCTGGCTGGCAGAGGGATGGTGCCATCTGCCAGCGCGGCAAAGCCCTGCGAGAAACTCTGGGGTGGGATGAGCCCACAGGAGAGACGCTGCTCAGAGCCCTCATGCTGCTATGCAGCCATTTCTCCCTCACGCAGAGCCCGGTGCCTTAGTTTCCCCGTCTGGTTCAGCGCTGGGCATGGGGAGCAGCTGCGGGGACAATGTTAAATTAATGTATTTTGAGTGAATTCTGCTCTGCCCCTGTGAATTCTGTGTGCCCCCTGCCGGGGTGGGCAGCAGGGCTGCCTGGCATCCTGCCCCCCTGCCAGGGGACACGGAGTGGTTAAGGAGCCGCATCATGTTGCGTGAAGCAGCACAAAGCAACACCACCAGGCAGCTGTGGGCCACCAGCTGTGTCCTGCTGCTCCGGCCACCCCGGGGTGTGCTCCAGGATCCGCTTCCCAGCTGGGTCCTTAACGCTGATGCACCTGGGGGGGCTGCGTGGCCTTGGCAATCATCCCCCCCTGCGGGACCCCAGCGCTGGCACGGAGCAAATAGCCTTCTCCTGCACCCCCTTGGCTCCTGCCAGCCCTCCCTGGACCAGACCTTCTCTCCAGCTCCTTCCCTCCCCTCCCACCATACCTCTTTCAAGGGTTGCAGAGGCAGGGGCTGGAGCAGCCACCAGCAGGTCCCCCCCCTGCTGCGGTGCCCAGGCTCCCCTAGCTGGGCTGTGCTGGAAGGACATCCCGGGGGCAGCAGTAACTGCCAAATCCCAGCTCCGGTGTCAGTGCCTGCCCGGCACCGTGATGCCCAGCCAAGCTCAGAGGGGGCTGGGGACTGTCCCCCCAACCCCGCCACCCTCTCCCATCCCACCACCCCAGAGAGCCTGGCAGCACCCACCGAGACCAAGCCCTTCATCTGCAGGGGACGTGCTCCATGTCCCTGGGAGACAGTCTCCTGTGAGCCCCGGTGGCTGCGGGCACTGGGATGGAAACATCACTGCCCTCAGCCCCCTCCCTTGCACTGCCCAAGCTGCCCTGGCTGGCACCCCGTCACCAGATCACCCCACCATCCCCAAAATGCTCCGTCCTTTCCCAGTGCCCACCAGGAGACAGGCGTTTGTCACCAGCCAGCCCAGGAAAGCAGCGGGACGGGAGAGCCCAGCCATGCCCCGGGCTGGGTGGGCAGGAGATCTCACCCCCCATCGCCCGCCCGCTGCTTCCTCCAGCACCGCTGCCCTGTGAAGCTCCGTGCTCTCCCTCTGGGTGCCCTGCCAGGCACCAGCCTGCGCTGCCAGCCCGGGGACAGCCCCCGGCAGCAGCATGGGGCAGCTCAGCTGAGCACAACCGGGCTGTGCCGGGCCAGAGTGGGCAATAAAACCTCTGCCGCTGCCCCACGGCACTGGGCTGGGCTTTCAAAACATGCTGAGTTATTAGCAGAATTATTAGCAGAAGACTAGAGAAATAAGCAGGAGTTTTGCTCTCACCACATGAATTAATAATATCCAAATATTTACCCTGCCCCGGCTGTGACCAGCAGCAGAAGCGCGGCTTGGCACCCTCTCCAGAGAGATGGTTCTCGTTAGGGGGATTAAGTGTGATTTTGACAGCTCATGGTTTTGCTGTTTGATCCAAAATATGCCCTGGAGAGATGCTTGGTCCCAAGGTCCAGCTCAGCCTGGTCATCTCCTAATGACTCTGTTCCTGCTGGTAGCAGACCCAGGGCTGGCTGGGGCTCGGGAGGAGACTTTTTTGGGTCAGTGCAGGGAAAGGTGCCTCTTGCCTGAGGCAGAAGTGACCTGCAGTGAGGCAAACAGCGATTCAAAAGGGGAGATCACTGCTCTGCCCACGGGCCTGATGACCACACTCTCCTGGTGTTCCAGCCCCTGCTTTCTGGGATTCCCCAAAACCCGATGCCCAGAACCGTTTTGGGGAATGCTGTGGTGCCCTGCACGCTGGACTGGATTTGGCTGATCCAAATGGTGCAGCCACTAAAACTCCAGCTTCCTTCCTGGCAAGAAGGAAACCCACAGAGACCAGTCCTGCTCCTGCCACCCCCACTGAAAGCCCCGTCCCAGTGCTCCACGCAGGCAGCACAGCCAGGGAGGGTGGCACCGGGGTGTGACCCCAGCCAGCCTGGCACAAGAAGTCACACACCAATCCGACCACCACACTCTCCCTGTCACCAGCTGCCCTTGTTCCCTCGTCCCTCTGCCACCAGTCCTGCTGAGACGCTCCCCCTGCCCCTCCTGCACCTCCAGGCTTGTGCCTTCCCCTGCCAGAGTCAGACCCAAGGGGCCACAGGGCTGGCTCAAAAAGTTCACAAGTTCATCAAGAAAAGAGTTTTGTTTTAGAGAGAAAGAGCGAGAACCCACCGTTATCAGGAAAATAAACCACCATGTGTTTCCTCCTTGGTAAAACCAACCGAGCGACTCCATCCTGGCGCCACTTCCTGAGGGCGCCGGGGAGGGTGGGATCAGCCGAAGGGACATGGCAGTGCTGCCAGGGCAGGCGGGCCATGTCCCAGCCCTGTCCTCCTCCCTCCTGCCCGTCCCTTCCCTGCACCTTCTCCTCTGCTGCTCCAGCTCTCTGTCCCAGCTGGAGAGCAGGAGAGCAGGGAGCTGCTGCTGGGCCGGCGGCTGAGCAGGTTTCTGGCAGGTCTGGCTGGCACGAAGAAGGGCTGCCCAGGCCGGGAGGGGACAGAGAGCTCCCCTCACCTCGTGTCCCCAGGCCCTGGAGGTGTTCCCGTTCATTCAGAAGCTACGATCGCCCAGAATACACTGCTAAGGGTTTCTTTCCCCAGGGTGGCTCCTCCAACGCTGGCCATGCAGCCGCAGAGTCCACCTCTGGAGGTGCTGGGAATGCTGTGGCGCGGCGGGGGCTGCCCTGCGTGGCTGGAGAGGGGCACCATCTCCTGCTCACAGCGAGCTCCTCTCCACCCCGAGATCCCGGCGGCGAGATGCACAACGTGCGTGTGCTGGATGCCTTGTTCCATGTGGGGAAAGAGTGACCCAAACAGCCTGGGCCATGCCAGAGGACAGCCCCGCAGGGTCAACCACGGCCCCTTGGAGGGGTTGCAGTTAAATCTCTGCCCAATGGCTCTTCCCACACAGCTGGGGCAAGTGCTGTCCCTCCGCAGCGCCCAGTCAGCCTCACCTCCACACGTCACGGCAGCCCGTGGCCCAGCACGGGCAGCAGCCCCCTCCCCTCTCCCGGGGGGCACCAGCACCAGCATGGGTGATGCCTTGCAGCATCTCACACCGGCACAGGAGAGACAGGGCAGCACTGCAGCCAGGGCATCCTTCCACCCGAAAGTTTTGCCTCCTGCCAGGCGCCTCTCCCAGCGCCAGGACTGCCCAGGAGCGGACATCCCGTCCCCGGAGCCAGCGGGACACACGGACCGGGTTGTGGATTGCTGGAGGAGCGAGCAGGGAGCAGCTCATCCTCCCTGCCTAATTTGCTGTTAAACCATCCCTTTCCTCAAGCACAACCCTGCTCAGGAGGCCCTTGGGATGGGGCGTTGCTCAGGTCCGTCCTCGCTGCCGCGGGCTGCGGTGCCGGGGGAGCCGCGGTGCCGGGCAGAGACACCGGGAGCCGCGGGAGGAGCCCCCCGTCCGGCTCAGCACGGCAGGAAGGGAGGCAGGATGCTGTTCTGCTCCTCTTTTTGGACTTATTAGAGATAAGAGAAGGGAGTTTGGAGGCAAGGGGAAAGCAGAACCCGAGCCCCAGGCTGTGTCCCCAGAGCAGCCACAGCCACCACTGAAGCTGGTGAGCAGGTTTCGTGTGGGGACGGGATGGAGCAGGGCAGCATCAGGGAGCCAGAGCCAAGTGTGCAGTGACTCCTGGGAGGGAGAGTTCATCCCCGTCCTCAGCTCCCACCACACACCAGAGACCTGGCCAAGCCCATGGGCAGACAGGGGGCTTGGCTGCAAGTTTCAGCAAACTCTTCCTGGGCTAGCTCCTTCCCACCAAGTTTCGAGGACAAGGACCTCACGGTGCCCGTGTGGCACATGCAAACCCTTCCAAAGTGCAACTTCTGGGGCCACCACGAGCAGACGGTGCACAGCCACCATCACCACACAACAGACCCATCACCCTTCTGATGCCCAAGGAGGCTGAGAAACAGGACCATGGGGCAGAAGGTCTTCATGGCCTCGGGCCACCGGCACAGCATGCCCTGGACTGGGTTTGATATTTTCCCAGGAGAATTAAGGGGCTCACCTCGGCAGGGGAATCTGGCCGCAGCGCCTCAGAGGGGGAGGTGACCACAAACTCCTCCTACAGCTGCACGGAGCCTGTCAGTGACGAGAGGAAAAAAATTCAAGTGAACTGAAGAAACCCAACCATCTTTGGTCAGCAGCGGTGGTTGTTGACACTTGGGGATGTTCCGCTCCAAAGAATGTTCTGCTCCAGCTGCCGCCTTCTCCTACACATCCATGTTTTAGAACTTCCCCGGCTTTTATCAGAGTCGTAACATTTTGTACCAAAAGGGCATGCAGGGAGGGAAGCCAAGAGGACCTCAAGTTTTCATGGTCAAGGCTAAACAAAGCACAAAGTTCCTCTGTGTTTAAGACTGATGGAAATGAACTAAGTAAAGCTTTTCAGCCTTAGAACAGTTTATTGCCTGAAGGTGCTCACAGGACACTGCGGAGATCTCTGGAGCGTGCATCTGGACCTGGGCTCTGGCCATCAGCAACAAGACTTGGGGAAGGAGCAGATGTTCCAGACAGGAACAGCTCTCACAAGGCAGCAGGGGGGTGAAGCCGGGGGCAGCAGGGTCTGTCCTTGCGGCGCTGCCGTCCCGGGAAGCCGGGATGTCCCAGCTCCAGGTCGGTGCACGGAGCTCTGGAGAGCTTTGCTCAAGACCGATGCTCTCCTCCCCTAGCGGGACATCCTGCCGGGGCCCGGAGAGCGGCTCTCCCCGCCTGCCCGGGCAGAGGGGTGCCTGGCGGGGACATCCCTGGGCTTCTCCTGTCGCTGTCACCCCCTCCCCAGCGCCGAGCCCGCCACCAGCTCCAGCACCGCGGCCGCGACGGGGCAGCCGGGGGGTGTTCCCCTCGCTCCCCCCGGGGCAGCCGCCCCCTCCCGTCCTGCAGCTTCCACCCCCGAGCTGCCCCGGCTCCATCCCGCCCGGTCCGGCTCCATCCCGCCCGGTCCAACGGGGCCGCCGCGACTCCATCCCGCCCGGTCCCTCCCGCGCGGTCCGGTTCCATCCCGCCCGGTCCAACGGGGCCGCCCCGGCTCCATCCCGCTCGGTCCCTCCCGCCCGGTCCGGCTCCATCCCGCCCGGTCCAACGGGGCAGCCCCGGTTCCATCCCGCCCGGTCCGGCTCCGTCCCGCCCGGTCCAACGGGGCGGCCCCGGTTCCATCCCGCCCGGTCCGGCTCCGTCCCGCCCGGTCCAACGGGCCGGCCCCGGTTCCATCCCGCCCGGTCCGGCTCCGTCCCGCCCGGTCC